CMMCMAAWYCTKRMAAGATGACCTCYGAGGAAGAAGYTRCAGCTATGGCTGCAGCGCCACAACCCTGGAACCCCACTCCRGAGGAGGGTCCAGCAGGGCACCMACTTCTCTCGCCTCCARCAGACCTCGATAACCCAGACCTCTGACAACCCCTACGTGCTGGCAGAGTACARCGCAGGTCCCARCTATGGCCRACRCTCYGAAGGTCTRGCTATGCYTGTCTCCTTCCACGMTGAGYCGTCACCACTTCCRGTTCACGCGTAGTACARCAGYGATGTACTYGGTACCAACTGCCAAAAGCCCTGAACYGATGTGCCCATCCTATCTATAGACTAAGACTAGCCTAGACTCGACCTAGACCRGACTGACTGACCGACCGGTACCGTATCAGTTTCGGCCTCTCSGCCTCTACCTTACCCGGCTATAGGCTATAGGACCATCTATCAGCATAGGCCCTTAGGGCCTGTCTGTCCTAGGGGTAGCCCGGGCCTGCTATTCRCAGTTAGGTTAGCTGTAGGAAATTYAGTTAGTACGGGCCTGTATTTTYCCGTATTTACAGATATGYCYYTCACGAATTTTCCTTACAGGCAGGTCACTCGGTTAGCCCTCAGCCAAACAAAATTACGAATCTGTCCTACCTATAGTACAGCCTCGACAGAGAGAGGCTACAGGCGACCAGAAAACAGCAAGTCATTGTAGACCTACCCTCCCCCTGAGCGAGGACCTCTGAGCTAGGGGCGTAGGCGTGCAGAGCGCCGAAGGGATTCTCCCTTCTGTGCTGCCTCATATCTGAGTATGACAGACTTTGCAGTCTTCAGAAGCTCCTTGCGAGTAAACCAGCGATCAGAAACCAGAGGCAAGAGGCTACAGGCGACCAGAAAACGGCAAGGCATTGCACTACCCTAGGCTTTACCCTACCCTACCCTACCCTGCCCTACCGTACCCTACCCTACCCTACCCTACCCCACCCTACGCGCGCACGCGCGCGCGCGCGCGCGCGAGAGAGAGAGAGAGAGAGAGAGAGAGAGAGAGAGAGAGAGAGAGAGAGAGAGAGCATGGGATCCATGGTTAATATATACGAGTGGTAAAGAGTCATAATAAGATCAGATGAGACTGGAAGGTCAGAAACTTACAAACCAAAAATCCATCTTTATTCATCCACTGTGGTGAGAGTTGACGAGCTCTCTTTTTATTCTGCCATCTTGCTGTTGGTGAGTGCTGAACTGGCATGTCATCAGTACAGCTGACAACCGACTGTAGGACCAGTGGGAATGGTGGTTTGCCATGGAAACTGGTGCCAGGACAGACATCATATCATTCCAAAACATTGTGCCAAGTGCGGCATACTCAGTACCACACGGGCCCAGCAGGACCCGACCAGGTAGACTAAGTGTCCATAGGTGTAGAGCCTATTTTCGTTTCAGCATAAAAGCCTGAAAACGAGGGCCTACAGGCCCTGTGTCGTTTCAGCCTGAAAGCCTGAAAACAAGGGCCTACAGGCCCTGAGTCTTTTCAGCCTGAAACGGAGGGCCATTTTCAGGCCCTCATAAGATCGACCTGCCCTGAAACTTAGGCACCAGACCAGGGTTTTAGCACAGGCCATTTKGGGCSWGTTTTCAAGACAACCTTTGTTTGAACTTCAACGCCAGGGTCTGGCACGTTTTGGCATTGGTAAGAGAAGCCTCCTGGACGGGCCAGCACTATATAAGACTGGCACGCCCTACAGGCCAGAGGGGGGTCACGAGGCAGTTCATAGGAACTTTCCCTGCACTTCATGTGCAGGAGGCAGGAGGTAGTCTTCAGGATTCAGCAGCAGCACTCTGGAGGAGCGCTGGAGGAGGAGGAGTAGCGTTAGCAGTAGTCTTCAGAGCTGGGCACTAGTAGGAGCTAGAGTAGCGCTGGAGAGAGAGAGAGAGAGAGAGTGATGGTTGGCGGAGGCCAGGGAGACTTACCTGTGGTGCCATAGCTCCAGCTTCGTCTTCGATGTACCTGCAACAAGGCGCCACCTTCACAGGTTAGTACCGGAGAGAGAGAGAGAGAGAGAGAGA